AATGACAAGTAAAGAAAATTGCAGAGATGCTCATCACATGATCATTTCTCATACTGACCTTCAATAAAGGTTGAGGACATAAGGCTACATCAGAGCCTGTGAAGGAACTTTCTACTCTAGAGCCAGCTTTTTGCTCAGCTGATGCTGCCCACACATAGGAAGTGGAAGAGAGAGATGGGTGGGTAGTATGTCCTTTGGGCTTCTCCTAGGGCTGTGGTGAGAATTGAATGAGTAAGCCCAGGCACAGAGTAGATGCCCAATAAGTGTTAGCAATTGTTATTATCATGATTCTCAAAGATCAGTATTTTTATCAGACTTTGGCAGGAGCTAAACTTTTTTTTAAAATTGTGATTTGGGTGAAAGTTTACAGAGTAAATTCGTTTTCCATTCAGCAGTTCATACACGTTTTGTTTTGTAGTTTCATAAACTATAATCCCCACAATGTAACAACTCTCTTCCCACTTCCTCCCTGTGATTACTTTTTTCCTGTGTCCTTCTTTCCTATGCATTCCTGCTCTCTGAGCTATCTCCCTACACAAATGCTGCCCTTCTGATCTCCCATGGTCGATTGTTCTAAGAAATGTACCTCTTTGGTATAACTGTTCGCCTTGTATGCCTCTTGTTTGGCTGGAAGTTAAGAAACAAGTGTTAGTTCAATTCCAGACCCAAAGGATGACTAGGATGTCTTGTGAGTTTCACCAGTCTCTAGCAGACCAATAAGCCTGGTCGTTTTATGATTCTGAGTTTTGTTCTACATTTTTTTCCCCACTATATCCAAGATCTCCAATTTTGACCCCTTTCTGAGTGGTTGGCAGTGGTAGCCAGGCTTTATCTAGTTCTTCTGGTCAAGGGACATGTAGGCTGAGGTTCACGTGGTCCACTAGTCTCTTGAACTAATTGTTTCCGTGTGTCTTTGATTTCCTTCATTTTTCTTTCTTCTAGAGGAGGAGAGAGCAAGTGTTGCATCTTAGATGGCCCCTTGTGAGCTTTTAAGACCCCAGTTGCTACTCATCAAAGTAGGATGTAGAACAGTGTTTTTTGTGTATGTAGCATGTTATGCCAATTGAGCTTGATGTCCCCTCCAGCGGTGGTCCCAAGCCCGTGGGCCCAGCAACTCACTTCCTCAGGGTGTTTGACTATGGCTAAGAAGTTATCATAACTTTGCCCCATTAGCTCTATTATATACATGGACAGGACACCCTTATAGCACATACAAATACATGTGTAGAAATATCATCTGCCAAACCTTATATGGTCCTGGCTTTCACCTACCCATACCTGATCATTTTGCCTGTCTACCTGTGTATATACCCATAGATTAATATTTGTTATTACTGATCTTACAGTATTGTGTATAGATTATAAACTTTTTGAAAGCAACAATCTGATATTATCCTTTCTTATGTTCCCCATAAAGCCGAGCATAATATTCTGCATAAATTAGGTGTGAAGTTAATTTTTTAATATTTTTAAATTATGAATTCTATATACTAGGAAGTATATGAGACATTCACATATAGTGTGATGAAAACTTTGAAAATGAACACCTGTGTAACCATCACCTAGATCAAGAATTAGGCCATTTCCATTTCCCCAGAGTTCCTTGTACACCCTTCCTAATCGCATTACTCTCCCATGTCCCAGAGGTAACTCTTTTGACTTTTGTGATAATTATTTCCTTTTCTTTATATTAATTTCTTCCTTGCATATAAAATTGTCAATTTTGTAGGTCAAAAATCATTCAGTAGCTGCAATCTCATATGGTTTACCTTAATAATTTTACCACCTGGGTATGGATCTCTAAGCATTATAGTTTTTAGCCTGTTTTGGAATATTACTTAAATGGAGTCATCCTGTATGTGTTCTCTTGTGTTGTGCTTCTTTCACTCAGTTGTTGATGTTGTGGGATTCAACTATGTTGTTTGCAGACAGTTGATTCTCACTGCTGGACCTGTTCCATTATATGACTCTACTACATTTTATTTATCTGTTCCATTGTTGCTGGGCTATGGCTTGTTTCCAGTATTGACTATTGCAAACAATGCTGTTGTGAAAATCCTACCAAATTTTTTTTTTTTTTAATTATGATTTGGGTGAAAGTTTACAGAGCAAATTCACTGTTCATACAGCAGTTCAATACACTTTGTCTCATGACACTGACTACAGTTTACCACAATGCAACAGCTCCCCTCCCACTTCCTCTCCACAGTTTTCTCTTCCCTGTGTCCTTCCCTCCATGCACTCCTGCCCCCTGAGCTGTCTCCCTATGCATACACAGCCCTTCTATTCACCCATGATTGTTCTCTCCAAGGAGTGTATCTACCTAATATAAATGTTCACCTCATATGCCTTTCTTTTGTTTGGTTGGAAGCCACAAGAGTGGGTTCAATGCCAGACCTGAATGGCAGCTAGGGACCATAGTCTCGTGGTTCCATCAGGTTCTGTCAGACCAGCAAACCTGGTCCCTTTTTTTTTTTTTTTTTTTAATGATTTTTAGTTTTGTTCCACATTTTCTCTCACTCTATCCAGGATCTCCTACATAGATCCCTCTCCTAGTGGTTGACAGTGGTAACCAGGCATCATCTAGTTTTTCTGGTCTCATAGTCATATAGGTTGAGGATCGCACAGTGTACTAGTTACTTGGACTAATTGTTTCCATGAGTCTTTGGTTTTCTTCATTCTTCTCTGCTCTGGACTAGGAGAGACCCATCATTGCATCTAGGTGTCCACTTGCAAGCTTTTAAGATCCCAGTCACTACTTACCAAAGTATGGAATAATGTTTTGTGTAGTATGTTATGCCAGTTGAGCTTGATGTCCCCTGTGACTATGGTCCCAAGCCCTCAGGTCCAACTACTCACTCCCTCTCGGTAGCTGGCTGTGGCCAAGAAGTGACTACAGCCTTGTCCCTTGTCAGCTTTACTATATTCCTGGGAATTCTTACAGAACATAGCAATACACTTGTAGAATCATTGTCTCCCAACCCTATACATGGTCTTGGGCACACTTCCCCCACCCCTGCATAGACATACCTAATAGTTCAGCCTGTCCACCCATCTATCCACCCTTATATCCATGTTTGCCTTCACCGATCATGTAGTACTGTATGTGAAAAGGGTTCATCTTTATTGCCTGTACCTCCCATACACTTCTCTGTGTCTTCCTCTTCCTCATTGGCACCATGTTGATCATTCACTTTTAGTTCATTGCCCTTCTCTTCACCCAAATCAATACTTCCTCTACCTATCTAACAGCGTTTCCTCCCCTCCTCTCCCACCCCTGGTAACCAACAAAGACAATTTCCTTCCATATCTAAATCTTTCCTTGACTTTTTACAATAATGGACTGATAAATATTTGTCCTTCTGTAATTGACATATTTCACTCAGCATAATGTCCTCCATGTTCATCTACATTATGCGGTATTTGCAGATTCTATGTTATTCTTTAGGATTGCATAGTGTTCCATTGTGTGTATGTACCATAGTTTGGTTATCCATTCTTCAATAGATGGACCCCTAGGTTGTTTCCATCTTTTGGCTATTGTAAATAGTGCTGTGATGAATATGGGTGCTTGCACATGGGTTTTAATGCATATGACCAAGATTTCATCTAGGACTGGGATTGGCAAATTATGACCTGCTAACCCACCAGCCACTCCTTGGAATGGAGATTGGGCAATCTATCAGATCCAACTCATAGTGACGCTTCCTTGGGTTTCCAAGGCGGTATCACTATGAAAGTAGATTGCCCCATCTTCCTTCTGAGGAGTGGCTGGTGCATTTGAACTGCCAGCCTTCTGGTTAGCAGTCAAATGCCTCAGGCACTATGCTACCAGGACCACAGTAATCACAGATAATATTGTTTACATTATGAGCCAATCTGTTATTTAGCTAAAAGATGACCTCATGGAATGGTTTTGGTTCAAGGTTTAAAGAGTTTCTCAAGTCAGTAGTCCCAGGGATTCTTCTCGTCTCAACTGGTCCAGTAAGTCTAGACTTTTTAAGAATTTGAGTTCTGTTCCACATTTTGCTCCCATCCTGTCAAGATCCATCTTACTGTGTTCATGATCAGAACATTGAGTAGTGATAGCAGGGTACCATCTAGTTTTGGTCTCAGGGTAGATGTGGTCGTGGTTCATGTAGAGTTATTTGTCCTGGGGACTAGTTTCTTCTCTGAGTCTTTTGTTTCCTTCCTTCTCTTTTACTCCAGATGCTTGCAGACCAGTAGTTTTGTGTTAGCCAGCTGCTCACAGCTTTTAAGAACCCAGATGCTACTCACCAAACTGGAATATAGAACATAAACTTTTCTGCTATATTATGCCAATTGATTGCATTTCCCCACAAGACTATGGTCCTAAAGGCCTTCAGACCCTGTAAACCAATCCTGTGAGGTGTTTGGTTAAGTTTAGGAAGTGTCCATGTTTGTGCCCCTATGTGCTTTATTGAATATATGAATATATATGGATGCATACACTTGCTACCAGTTTTTGTAAATAAAGTATTAGAACACAGCCATGCCCATTTGTTTACATGTTGTCTATGGCTGTGTTTATGCTAGTGCAGTAGAGTTGAGTAGTTGTAGCAGAAATCATATGGCCTGCAAAGCCTAAAATATTTACTGTCTGGCCCTTTACAGAAAAAGTTTGCTGACCCCTGGTCTAGAGTACAGTTTGTACCTAGAAATGGAATTGCTGGGTCATATATAATATGAATCTTTAGCTTTACTAGATAATGATAAATTCCAAAATAGTTAGATAGCACTTGATTTTATCAGATTTTTACATTTTTGCCAGTTAAGTTAGTGTGTAACAGCATTTCATTGTAGTTTCAATTTGTGTTTCCTGATTTCTAGTGAGATTGAACACATTTTTGCATGTTTTAGGCCATTTGGATTTCCTGTTTTGTAATGTGCCCATTTATTTTCCTGTTAGTGGTTTGCCTTCGTAAATTAATGCTGATTAGTTGATATCCAAATAATGTTTACACTTTGTGTTTCTGCAGAACAAATAGTGGAGAAAGATGAAGGTCCATATTATACTCACCTGGGATCTGGCCCCACTGTAGCCTCTATCCGGGAACTCATGGAGGAGCGGTGAGTAATGCACAGAAGCCCAAGGAGAAATGGACATCTTGTTAATGGAAGATGGATTTTAAGCACCTCTCATATTCCTTGCCTTGTACTAGGCAACATACAGAAAGGAAGCCTTGCTATCTAGATTGTGGAAGGTTGAGTCTGGAATTCTTACCTCTAGTGCTTCTGGATTTATTTTATCTAAAGGCCCACCTTCCATCTGTTCATCTCTCTCATTTTCTTGAAATATTCTTGTTGAAGAAGCATGGTTGTTTGTCCGGTCAAGTCTAAATTTTCTGATTACTTTCACATGGTGGTGTTTAATGTGTCCTCTGCCTTCTGTCCTGTAAATTGGAGTTAGATCTAGATCTAAAGGTTTGATCAGAGTTAAGTTGTTTTCTCTTTCTCTCAAAATTGCTTCATGGGTGGTGTTTTGTACCACCATTAGGAAGAATGTAATGTCTCATCTTTGGCTGGTAGGAGCCTATTCAGGTTATCTCTTGAGTCCTTTTGACGGGATCGTAGGAGTCTTTAGTAGCTTTCTCGATTTCTCATGTGACTCAGTGTTCCAGGATCATGTTGTAGACTTGTCCGAGAAGTCTTCACTCCTTTTATTGGGAGAAAAAGTATTTAGAAAACAGGATCAGGGTACTATGGGTGCTTTTAATTGATACTGGCTTTTTCTTATTATTTAGTGATTAAATACATCTTGAGTATATATTGACACTTCTAGTTCAAATTTAGACTATAGGGTTTTTACTTAACATTCCTGTTTTTAGTTTTTTGTTTTTTTTTCTTTTAAGCAGTTTGTATAGATACAGACTTTAAAATCTATATTTGTGTTCATATCAGATAGAAATACTATTAATTTCAATATATGGAGAGGTAACATACTAGGGAGGAGCCCTGGCGGCATAGTGGTTTAAGTACTTGGCTACCAATCTAAAGGTTGGTGGTTTGATCCCACCAGCCACTCCATCTGAGAAAGATGTGGTGATCTGCTTCCATAAAGATTACTGCCTTGGACATAACGTATTACACACACACAAAAACTGTTCTATGTCCTACTTTAGTGAGTAGCAACTGGGGTCTTGAAAGCTTGCTTTCAGCCATCTAAAATTCAACAGCTGGTCACTCCTCTCTGGTACAAAGGAGAATGAAGAAAATCAAAGATGCTTGGAAACAGTTAATCCAAGGGACTAGTGGACCTTTGAGCAGAAGAACTAGATGGTGTTTGGCTACCACTATCAACCACTCAGAAAAGGATCAGTTTAGAAGATCCTGGATAGAGTGGGAGAAAAATGTGTAACAAAACTCAAAATCATAAAAAAGACCAGGCTTACCGGTCTGCTAAAGACTGGTGAAACTCCCAAGACAATGGCCCCTAGTCATCCTTTGGGCCTGGAATTGAATTCATTCCTGTGGCTTCCAGCCAAACAATAGACAGGTGTATAAGGTGAACATTTACACCAGGTACGTATGCTCCTTAGATCAATCAACCGTGGGAGATCAGAAGGGCAGTATTTGCACAGGGAGATATCTCAGAGGGCAGGAATGCATCAGACAGAAGGGCACAGGGAAAAGGTAACCACAGGGAAGAAGTGGGAAGAGAGCTTTTACATTATGGGGATTGTAATCAGTGTCATGAAACAAAATGTATGTGAATTATTGAATGGAAAACGAATTTGCTCTATAAACTTTCACACAAATCACAGTTTAAAAAAAAAAAAAAAGATTACAGCCTTAGAAATCCTATGGGGCAGTTCTTTTTTATCCTGTAGGGTCACTATGAATCAGAATTGACTCGAGGACAATGGGTTTGGTTTGGTTTTAATGTACTAGGTGGTCCAGAGCGTGGTCATTAGAGCTAGACTGTCAAATCCTGGTCCTGCCATTTATTGCTCTACTGCTCAGTGACTCAGTTTTCTTCTTCTTCTTTTTTTTTTTTTTTTGTGTGTGTGTGTGTATATGATGAACCATGGTAAAAAAATCTTATATCTTCTCCCCAGAACTTTTTTTGTGTGTGTGACTCTGTTTTCTTATCTGCAAAATGGAGAGGATGATAAAAGGGCACATCTTATAGGATGAAAATAAAGTTGATGTATGTAAAGTACTTAGTGCCTGGTACATAGTAAGTATGACATATAGGATGAACAGTCATTGTTATGTATTGATTGCATCCTTTACCAAGCATTAGTATTTTAAGAGTAAAGTCAAGGATTATATTTTACAAATGTATGGAAGGTTGAGTGGTTTAGAGTTTCCACAGATTTAGGAACTAGATTTTGTCTAACCAGGGAAGCCAAATTAATCTTGTCATTAACATAGCAAGGAGCATGAGATTGAACTGAATAAGTATAAAAGCTTCTCTGAACTAATAAAAGGTAAGATAGATGGAAGGCAGTGATCTGCTGCAATCACTCTTAATTACCCTACACCATCTGGAAACATTTATATTCAGAGTAGCCTATCAGAAAAGCATTTGATCAAAGACCCAATCTAAAGTTCAAGTCTGATTTAAAGGGCAGCGCTGTCAGAATATACTCAATGGCAATGGTTTAGTTTTTTGTTTTCACATTCTGTGAAGAAGCCATTATTGCGCAGTGGTTAAGCACTTGGCTGCTAACCAAAAAAAGGTCGGCTGTTTGAACCCACCAGCCACTCTGTGGGAGAAAGATGTGGCAGTCTGCTTCTGTGAAAATTGACACCCTTGGAAACCCTATGGGGCACTTCTAAGTCTGTCCTGTAGGGAATCAGAATCAACTCAGTGGCAATGGGGTTTTGGAGATTTTTTTGGTTTTATGAGAATGGAATAGATTTGAAGTTGTGTCTATGTTGTACATGCACGTCTGTGTGTGCCTGTGCACTGCAGTTTTGAGGCTAAACCAATCATCATTTGGTGATTTTTTTTTTTTTTAATCTCCCTTTTTTTTTTTTTTATTAGGATTTGGGTGAAGATTTACAGAGTAAATTCACTTTTCATACAGCAGTTCACATATACTTTGTCTCATGTCATTGACCAAAATTTACAATGCAGCAGCTCCCCTCCCACTTCCTCCCCATAGTTACCTCCTCCCAGTGTCCGTCCCTTCATACTCTTCTGCACCCTGAGCTATCTCCCTGTGCATAAGCAGCCCTTCCTTCTCCCATGATTGTTCTCTCCAAGGTGTGTGTCTACTTGAGGTAAATGTTTAACTCACATGCCTGTACTTTGTTTGGCTGGAAACCACAGTTGTGGGTTCAATTCCAGACCTGAAGGGCAGCTAGGGGCCATAGTCTCAGTGGTTACACCAGGCTCTATTGGACCAGCAAACCTGGTCCCCACCTTCTTTTTTTTTTTTTTTTGCCTCCAAATGATTTTGAGTTTTGTACCACATTGTTCTCCCTCTTTATGCAGGATCTCCTACATCCCTTCCAAGTGGATGGCAGTGGTAGCTGGGCACCATCTAGTTCTTCTGGTCTCATAGTTGTATAGGTTGCAGATCGGATGGTGTACCAGTCGCTAGGACTGATTGTTTCCATTAATTTTGCTTTTCTTCTTTCTTCTTGACGAGGAGAGACCTGTTGTTGCATCTAGATGGCAGCTTCCTAGCTTTTAAGGTCCCAGTCGCTACTCGCCAAAGTAGTAGGTGGAACAATGTTTTGTATAGTATGTTATGCCAATTGAGCTTGATGTCCCCTGCGACTATGGTCCAAAGCCCTCAGGATCAACTACTCGGTCCCTCGGGTAGCTGGCTGTGACCAAGCAATGACCATAACCTTGCCCCTTGTCAGCTCTACTATACACCTGGGAATTCTGATCATTCACATGAACTTATAGGCCCATTGTCTGTTGTCTGGTGATTTTTGTAAGGAATCTTGACATTGTTCCTGAGGGCTGCAAGAAAGTGAAATGTACAGGTTTGATCTGGGGCTTTTCTTTTTTCATAACAATTTTGTAAGATTTCCAGACAGCTCCTATCTTAGTTATTTAGTGCTGTTGTAACAAAAATACCACAAGAGGGTGGCTTTAACAATCAGAAATATATTTTCCTGTGGTTTATGAGGTTAGAAGATTGAATTCAAGGCCCTGGCTGTCAGGGAAGGCTTTCTCTGTTTCTCTGCTCTGGCGGAAAATTCTTGCCTCAGCTCCTCTAGCATTCTTCTCAGAGTTCCTTGGAGATCTCCATTTGGCGTCTTCCTCACATTCGTGCTTCCTTGGTTGTGTGTCCAGTCTTTTCTTTTTATGCTTCAAAAAATGATTGGCTTATGATACATCCTACACTGATAGGGTTCCATTAATATACCCAAGAAAATCCTGTTCTCAAATGGGATGACATCTACAGGTTAGGGTTTGTAACACATATTTTTAGGAGTCACAATTCAATCCATAACAACTCCCTAAATAACTTTTCATTATAAAAAATATATTTTGAAATGAGGATTAACTGTAGATTCTTCAGAAACTGATCCAAGGGAGGAATTCCTCTGAAGATGAGGAGTACTTGTGTTTTTGCTCAGTAACTGGTTTATTTTTATCTTAAGGATCTTGTAAATCATGTAACAGATTGCGCTTTCATCTTATGTTGGCTGCTAGTGTGCTTAGAGCCAGATTTGTGTACTTTCATCAGGAAGGATGTAATGTCTCATCTTTGGCCAGTGGGAGCCTATTCAGGTTCACACCCAAGTCCTCTTGACATAACCCTGAGGGATCTTTGACAGCCTCCTTGATGTCCCATATGGCAAGATATTCTGGGCTCATCTCTCAAAACTACACGCAAGACCCTGCCGTTTACATTTTGTGTATTAATATCATGTCTGTCTTTCCCCCCCTTTAATCTGAATTCATCACCTGTTATTTTCATCTTATGGACATCTTTTTGAAAATACTTTCTGGAACAAGGACGGGAATAAATGCTTGAAAAATCATTCATAAATCTACTGACTTATGGTCTAGGTTGTGATGAGTGGTCCAAGTTGCCTGTTTCTTAGGTCTTCCTCTGCAGAAGCATTCCTAGGAGTTGGTCAGAGGCAGGCAGGGG